TTTTAAAGACCTTTCTGCTCTTTGCGTGTTTCTTATTGTGACTGCCACCGTGGGTTTAGCAACTATACGTCCTCCGGGGTCTGATCCAGAACTCAGGTTTAATAAACTCCGGGTTTGTTAAAACTGAGGCAAACTTTAGGTCTCTAACGGAAAAAATAAAACCTAACTTAAATTTATAGTCGGTTACCATGATAACAGACTCTGTGACCCTTTCCTAATCGGTTACCATGGTAACAGACCGTTTGAGCCTGTCCTAACCTGCTCCCTGCACGTGTTATCTCTGGCTCCTCCCCTCCCGTTACACCTGAAACAGCCGACTGACCCTGGATCGATCCAAATATTGATAATATCGATACCAGTGTCAGTATCAGATCGTGATACTTAGTTTCAGAGTGTTTCCTCAGAAAGTAGACATCCCTTTATAAACACGGTCCTCCTGCTCCTCCTCTTCCTCCTCCTCTCTGTCTCATTGTGTTTTGTTGTTGTGCCGTCACATGACCTGTTTGTGCTGAGCAAAGGAGCAATCTCACAGCTGTAAGCTAAAACACGGCACACTGCCGTGTGTGGGAAGCCGATTCATGATCAGTTTATACAAACCCAAGAAAACAGAAGTGAACAGTGAAAGAAACAAAGTGAGGAGGAGGAAACTCCCTCACAGACCGAGACCCCCAGCATGGAGACGGAGGCCACTGGCAGAGACCTTTCTGGGACTGATTTTATCACACTGATGAGTGAAAGACTCAATTCAAACATTTAAATAATGTTCTCAGCACCTTGAAACATGGTGCACTGCTCTGTCCTGAATAAACTGCCTTCATATGTTAAAAGCAGCACAACCTAAAGTATGTTGATAATAATATCACAACGTCTGCAGACACTACAGTGATCATCACATAGAGTGCAAAATAAACCCGAGAAGCATCCTTAGTGCTGCAGCAGCATTCACTCATCTTCACGAATGACTTAAATCTTGTCTCTTATTAAATACTAAAAAAAATCTTCCACATATTGATTATTGTTTCACTACCTGATCAATAACAAGTTAAACAACATTTAGTTCATAAGGAAAACATAATTGTCATTCGTGGAAAACAATCCTTCGAGCTGTGATAATTCCATAAAAACCAGGAATGCTTGTTTCATATATGAACTTTCACATGCACGTTTTTCACTCTGTGAATTTATTATTGATGATGTTTGTTTTTGTCTGCTGGTTTTTATTCACCCGTGTTCCTTTAATTTACCACACTTACATTTTTCTTTGTGCATCAAATTATGAATTTAAATACTTTAGCTGTAACAGGACAAAATGTTACCGAAGACAAAAGTATTTTCCTTCTTCGTCCTATTTTTAATTAAGTTTTTTTTTTTTGTTTTTTTTTGAGTAACTGAGATCTATTTTACTGTCACGCTTCAGTTCCAGCAGCAGAGAACCAGTAAAATAAGGTGTGATGTGGTTACTGGGTCCACGTGTGAGTGTCCATCTCATAAATGTTTTCCCTTCAGGAATCCCCATCAAGTCGACTCTGGACAACTCGAGCACGGTGCAGTACGCCGGGCTGATCCACCAGCTGGTGATGAAGGCCAGGAGCACCATCCGAGACATCGACCCCCAGAACGACCTCACCTTCATGCGCGTGCGCTCCAAGAAGAACGAGATCATGATCGCTCCAGGTGAGAGCATCTGCTTGGAATTACCGCTAAATGAATTCACCAAAAATGAAACGCTGTTATTCCAGTTAACCTGACTTATAAAGGCTTCAAACACGCTCCCATTAGCTGAGCTGAAGCCCAGCAGGCAGCCACCATCTACCTGTCTGTCAAAGAGGCCACAGCCCTCATTTTGAGTCTTACTGGTGTCCAAATGGAAGTGTTATAAGAAGCTGCAGCAGCGATTTAGTAAAACCCGAGATCAGCTGTTTTTATTAAAACTCTACATTTTAAAGTATTAAAATGCCCATTATTCAGATTATTTCCTGGCTAAAAAGGCTGGATGTGAACATTTAAGATGCTTTTGTTCCTGAAGTCGTTTAATTTTTTTGCCTTTTTCTTGACAGATAAAGACTTTTTCCTCATCGTCATCCAGAATCCATCAGATTGAAGATGAAGGAGCTGACGTCTGGCTGTTCGCTCTCTTTATCACTCTCATTTAAACGGCCCATTTTCTTTCTTTTTATCATTAAATAAAAATTTGTGTTCAGCAGAAGCTTTTTCATGGGAAGTAAGGTTGTA